ATTATTTTTCTTCTCTTGATTTTTCTCTCAAGATTTCTCATTCATGTAATTACTCCTTTATTCTCATCTGAAATAATACACTGTAGAAATATGACACTGACTTTTACCATAGTCTACAACAATTAAGTATTGAAGATGATTCAGTCAACTCATTGCGGAGGACTATTATACGTTGTTGACCGAGAGACGCGTCTGATGTTTACAAATCATTAAAACTACTTTAAAACGATTTATCTTAGAAACGTGGGACCAGCTGCATTAAAAACTTTTTCTTGGCCTGTAGATTCAGGTTAAGGTAAAAAAAAAAAAAAGTCAGAATCATTCAAAATACAAGAAAATAGTGTCTTTTAAATCACATCTTTCGCAAAGCCAATTACAAATTTCTTTAAAAGTTTTTTTTCCACATATCGTAATAAACTTGGTTATAGCTTGACTTCTAAAACCACAGAGACACCAAACCTTCACCAATGTCTTCGGTTGGACAAAGTTCGAGTTCTTCATTACAAAAGGATTTAGATCGTCCCCTTACAAGTGTGAGCTATTGCCCTGACGTTTTCCCCAAAACGGCTCGTCTTACTTAGACATGCGCATGCGTGAGTTTGGAGAAACATCGCTTCATTTCAGAGAGAAGAAAATTCAAGATTTCATCCAAAAAAGTGCATTAATACAGCCAGGACAAATGTAAAGAAGGTATTTAAGGTGTTAACAAACAGTATAGAGCAGTTAAATGTCGAAATATTGTGTATTATTTTAGTATTTCTGATCTAAATTTGAACAATTCGGTGAACAATAGAAGACACGAATACCATTCTGTCCTATAAATAGAACAGGTAAAAGTTAGGTGAATCTGTGATGCACGAGTGAACAGTATAAACAAACATGGCGTCGGACACATCGAACATTATTGGTGAATGTAGGTCGGTACTATATGGCGATACACTACAAGAACAAGAACAAAACGAAAGTGGAGAAGTCACTATAGAAAAGTTGTACAACCTAATGAAATCCATGGGGAATACTATGAACCTAAGATTTAACCAAATAAACACAAACTTTGAACAAAAAATTTCGAACATAGAAAGTAAACTACAAAGAGTTGATGAAGTGTTCGAAAAATTCATGAGTTTATCGGCAAAAGTACAAAACATCGAAGGGGTTCTCCATGAAACGAACAAAAAATCTAATGAATTCCAAGATAGTCTCCAAGGGCTATCAAATATATTTGATGGCGTAAAAGAAGATGTGTCGAATTCGAATAAACAATTACTAGACATGAAGTCTCGCATAGAAGAAATTGAAAACGATTTCAGTAAATTCAGATTTGAAAAAGAAAAAGAAGTGAGAGAAATCACAGAGAAAAACGAACTTCTATCGGAACAAATCACAGACCTGAGATGCCGCTCAATGAAATACAATCTAATTTTCACAGGCATAATGGAGGTCAACGGCGAAAACACGGAGGAGGTGCTGAGAGAGTTTTTCTTCCATCAACTCGGAATCACAGATTACATAGAAATTGCCAATGTACACCGATTTGGAAGGAAACACAGGAATAAGCCACGACCCATAGTCGCCAAGTTTATATACCAACGGGAACTGGACTTTATCATGAAGTCAGCGTATAAACTGAAAAACAAACCCTTCCAAATAAATAGGCAATACCCAGATGAAATAGAACAAGCCAGGAAAACTCTATACCCTGTAATGAAAGAACTGCGACAGAATGGCGAGCGAGTGAAGTTGGTGAGAGATATTTTATATGTTAATGGGCACCCATATGATCCGACTGAAGCAGAGATGGAAGCCACCTCAGGATCTATGCAAGACAAACACGGGCCAGTTCGAACTCCGGGGGCCCAGAGTTTCAAAAGAAGGCGTGTTGCATCATCACCGGAATGGAAATAGGGACACGCAGGGGATCATGTTGACACTTGTGAGAACTTTCCGTCTGGTGGCAAACTAAAGATTCTATCTTTGAACTGTTGCGAAATACTTAATGCTGTAAAAAAATTAAAAAACAATAAAGCTTCAGGCGAAGATAAAATAAGAAATGAATATATAAAATCATCAATACAAATTATGCTCCCACTTTATGAAAAATTGTTTAATTTAGCATCAAACAAAAACTAAAATATCCGGAATTCCAAAATTTTATTAAAAATTATGACATACTATGTTTTCAGGAAACTAAAACTGACGATTTTGACACACTCTATTTAGATGGTTTTGAAATTTATTTGAAAAACAGAAGTAAACAAGGCAAAAAGTGTTCTGGAGGAATTGCATTGGCATACAGGAAAGAATTCAGTAAAAATGTTGTAATTCACAAAAATGATAACGATTTTGTTCTCTGGTTTGAAATATCAACAAAAATTTCAAAAACAAATGAAAATATTTTAATTGGAAATGTGTATATTCCCCCAGAAAACTCAAAATATAGTAATAAAGATGCATTTAGTTTATTAGAAATTGAACTACAAAACAAGTTAAAAAGTGACAAACACTTAATTCTAACAGGTGATTTCAATGCCAGAACCGGAACAGGATCTGAAATCCATCCTGTTGTATACGAAACCACAGACAAATTTAATGATATTTTTGAAGAATCACAAAGTGAATTTAATTTAACATCAGAACATGTAGAGCGTAATAATGTTGATGAAATACAAAACTACTATGGCAAATTGTTATTAGAATTTTGTAAGACAAACAATTTATTAATAGTAAATGGTCGAATTGGAGATAATATAAGTGGAAAACCAACATGTAAAAGCACAAGTGCTGTAGATTACTTTATATGTAACTACGGCTTTTGGAATTATATAGAAAACATGCAAGTTTTGGAGCATAGTTCACTGTACTCCGACGTACACAACCCCCTTGTTTTAAGTATAGATAAACACGAATTAATAAACGAAATGAAAACAAATGTTTCTACAACTGATCTAGAAATGATAAAGCCATGGGATACGGAGAAAGAAAATATTTTTATTCAGGCTATCAACAAAAATTGCGTCGAAGAAATGATATCAAACATAGATCAAGCAATAAATTCCAGTGAAAACCCAGAGAAAATTGTCAACAGTATTGTAAATGAACTAAATAACAATTATATTGATGCAGCTAAACAAGCTTTAGGAGTAATTAAAGTGAACAAAAATAAAACGACTAAAAGCATTCATAAAAACAATAAGCCATGGTTTTCTACAGTTTGTCACAAAGCGAGAAAAAAATACCGAAATAGCAAAGTTTATTATTTCAGGAAACGTTCGCAAAATGCCAAAGAAAATCTTAAAAACAAAGAAAAGGCTTATAAAAGAGTGTTAGACAGGGAAATAAATAAGTATAGTGAAGAAATGAGCAAAAAGTTACAAAATATGCGACTCAAAACTCCCAGACAATATTGGAAGATATTGAATAAAAACAATAAACAAAAAAATACAGATCAAATCGATATTGAAAAATTATTTAATTATTTCAAAGAGTTAAATAAGGCACCCGAAATACCTGAGAATATAGAAGAGATGCTAGATAATGAAATCAATATACTAGAAATAGAAGAATTGAATCATAATCTAAACAAATACATTTCGCAAGATGTTAAGAGCGAAAGTAAAACTAACTTTAATAGATCAATTTAAACAAAAATGGAATTCGGATGTTCAAAATTTATCAAAGACCTTAAATTACAGAATATATAAAGACGAACTAAAATTTGAAAAATATTTAGAAATTCTATCACGAAAAGAAGCCATAAATTTCTGCAAATTCCGTACTTGTAATCATTATTTGCCAATTGAAACTGGACGTTGGTTAAATGAACCAAGAGAGATTAGACTATGTAAGAAATGTCAATTAAATGAAATAGGAGATGAATTCCATTACATATTAAATTGTACGTCAATGACACGTGAAAGAAAAAAATGTTTAACGCAAAAACAATTACGATTCAAAAATACGATTACATTTAGAGAAATAATGAATTCAGATAAACAGTCATTTTTAAGAAGACTGTGTATATTTATTAAAAAAATTACTAAAACATGCTCCCCAAACTAGTAAAGACCTAAATCTATAATTGTACTATTTGTCTATCCTCACACTCACGCATGCCATATAAGTGTTTTTATTTGTCATCATTGTAGTTTACATTTATATCTCGTTATACAATTGTAAAATTGTGAAGAGATTAATAAATTCAGTTCAGTACTAAAAACATGGGACCACATGCAATGTAATCCTTGACTTTTGAGACTTAACATTTTGTCAAGGTCAGAATCAGTAGTCTGTAGTTTTGTTAAAACGATTATTTAAAAAAAAATCTTTTCATTTTCATGAAAAATGTAAAAGATGAAGGTCATTTTTAAAATTTACACTTTTCAAACTGTTATTGACTGTTAAGCTTTTTTGTTTCTTTACACGAATTATCTGTTGAGGGTTTAGAATAAAAAAAAACCCATGTAGCATTACTTCAGATTTGAAATACTGAAATAAATGTTTGTATCATTTATCCTTTATAGGCATTTTAAAACAATTTTAATATTATACGTGGATATAATATCGGATAATGGACTTTGTACATGCAACATTGGTGGTGTCGCGTAATCAGTGGGTCTAACATTGTATCATTGGTTTTGTATCATCGAAGTCAATGGTGGCCAAGGTGGTACCATGGTAATGATACAATTACTAGACCAGGGGATGTCAAATATATTATATACCTGGCTATAAGTGGTTGCTACAGAGTCGACCAAAAACGCTACATGGATGAAGAGTCCTGAGCTTTAATCTCATTTTAAAACTTATTAGTCTAAATCCCAAAATCTGAAATTTTTCTCTTAATCTGTATCTAATTCTGATACAAAAATGCAATATACGCAAACACCTTTAGATTTGATGATTAATCTATTATCGTAAAAACATGGCATATAGACAAAACTTTTGGGCAATTCTGTAGAAGCAGATGCGAATGAAGCATGCTATATCAATTAACAGTAATTCAGTCCTTGCATGAAATGATACTCGTAAGTTCTTGGAGCTGTTTTCAGTTTGATTACAACATTTTGTAAGATGTGAACTCTGGAAATGTAGAGGGCTAAATCTGGCAGGTATTCATTAGGTTTAGGCTATACTTTTTTCTGTCATTCATCATTTTAAACGATGTGGAAATTCTCTTTGAAACTTTTAAAGAAAAAGAAATTAAATATGCATGTCTCTCAAATGAAAAACGAGGGTCCTGTAAAAGCATCCGGGAGTGTTTGCTTTGCATTTATTTATTTATTTTACTGGACATAACATCATTAATACGGAGTTGTTATTACAGGTTAGGTGGAGAAATTTATTTTATAAGTTTTCTAAGGTATTACATACAGGTGTTAATCCTCAGGGATACTGTTTTGTGATGTGTTACATAGACCGTTATTTGTTTGTTTTTGTTTTTTTTCTTTCTTTTGGACTGTTTGTGATCCCATTGTGAGTTAGTTCATATCTTACAGACAACTAATAACACCCCTCGGGTTATTTGGGTTCACCTGTATTTTATCACCCCCAGTCGATCGATTGTATCATTATTACACAACAGACGAATTAGTACCCACTCTACCCCTACTTGCATCGAAAACATTTGAGTTGTCCATTGTTTTGTGCTAATCCGGTGATTCCAGTGCGTTAATTTTGGTGCTTTAAATTTGCTCAGATTATAACCTTGAACGGCATGAGCATTCAACTTGCTGATGTAATGTGCACGTTTTGATCGTGATTTTGGACTCTTTAACAAAGGTAAACTACTTTTTTCTTCACCATGTGGACATACTCTACTTCATGAAAAAATGTATTCGTGTATTTTTGATGATTTAGAATCTGAAGATTTCGATAATTGATACCTTGATTATAAATCACATTTAAACTGAATTCAATAACAATCCTGTAGAGACAGCACTCCTTAATTTATTAAGATTTGCTATGAAGCTTTGAAGTATTCGCCTGTATTGTTGCTTTCTTTTACCGTTTGGTACACCATAGGTCGATTGAGCTATTTTATCACGAGTACGCACTTTATTAATAGATTAAAAGCAGAAGTGATCTTCATCTTGGATCAGCTGTTAATTTCTTTTCCCAAAACAAACTTTTTGAACACTGCTGATAAAATTTGTAGGTGGAAGTAGTGGGATTAAACCACTCCGATAGCTCAGATTATTTTTTTATTAAACAAATTTATTCAAATCTCCGCTCCATTTCAAGAAAACAAAAGTTTCTCTTATATTAAAGGCATCTTTCCTAAAGCCATTTCAAACTTTTTTGCTCATGTTTTTAAAAACTCATGATAAATTATTAATGATTTTGAAAGTGGAATTCATTTGTGAAAAAAAAAAATCTGTACACATGATAGGAAAAATTGAACAGCTGCATGAATGACATTAATTCATGATCACCTGTGGCTAATCAACAAAGAAAACACACCAGAAAACCTTCTGATGTGAATTTTTGTTTGTTATTTTTTTCATTAATATTTTTCTACATGGTTATTGCCCCATTTAATCCTGGTGATTGAGATTGTGCTATCTCTTTTTTTGTTTTGTTTTTCTGTTGTATAAATGCCTCCTCCCAAAGAAGAAAATACACATGTACTCTTAAACTGAGCACAGGTGGACATTATAATTTCTACTGGTCAGTTACTTGCATTCACCTGAACCTGAAACAAGGCAAGAGAAAAATTCTTTATAGAATGCTGCCTTCACTGACTGAGGTTCAGTTCTGTTGTAAACTTAAAACTGGGAGATATAATAGAACCTAATCAAGGGTAACAAAATGATTGAGATGACACAAAATTATCACAGGAACAAATCTAGGTCTAATCATACTTACCTACTTTGGTTCATTGGATGTGAACTGAAGGAGATATACACCTATATATTTCACACAGGCATCAAATTTACAGTGGTATGCATGTGCATAAATCTGCAGAGATGTTATAAAGTTTGGGTGTTGAAATGTTTTTTTTTTCATGACAAAACTTTTCTTTGGATACCAACATATTTAACCTCAAGTCCTTGAACTTGAAGTGTGATTTACTTAAAAAACAAACTTTAATCTTGGACAGATTTACTGTTGAATGGTTGAAGGTGCTCCAATTTTCATATTCCATATTGTTAAATGTGTCAAGGCCTTCCTTCCCTTTTTTTTCCCTCTTTTGGTAGCAACATTTTACCTTATATGTCCTTGACCTTAGAGTTTGACCTGAATGACTGAGGCTACCGTGCAAACACATGTGTAACTTGAGTCAAAACACCTTTCTTTGGGAAGCAATATTTTTTATCTCATGACTTAATTGACTTATAAACAATGTTTCCCCTTTTTTTTGAAAATGTTATCTTTGAAGTTAAGCTGCTACTATTTTTTTGTTGTAGATGAATTTTTCATTAAATTAAATATCATAGCAAGTGTCATTTTGCCTTACATGTATAATTTAATATGTTCATGTGGAAAACATGGAAAATGTATGAATTGACTACACGGTGTATTTTCTGACTAAAAATATTCACAAAGGAAATATTTCAGTTCAGTTGCTTTGAAGTAGTTCAAAAGGTGATTGAATTATTGCCTGGAAACCTTGTAGAGTTTCCAGTTTACTAGATTTGTAAGGGCATCTTGCAATATGGTTGATAAAAACAAGATCAGTTCATTTTGAGTTAATTCTGAAAGAGTGCCATGCAAACGTTAAGTGGGGATAAACAATGTGGTTGGAAAAATGTTCATGTTTTTCCTGTCAAATTTAAATAGACAGACCTTGTCAAAATGTTTTGATTTAAAAATATGTTTGAATCAAAATGTGTGAATGACTTGACATTTATGCATATTAATATACAGCTCAGAAAGGTATGTGTAGGCCTATATATTATAATTTATTATGTACAGCACAAAAATTATGTAAATCTATATTATATTGTAGGATGGTATTGTTGAAATGTTTTACATGTAAAAAGATTCAAGTTTGTTCAAATCAAGACACCTGGGAGTAGGATGGGGCTGGGGTTAGTATTTGGGCCACAATATACAAGTATTATCTTAATTTTACAAGTAAGAATATATAAATGTATAGGGAAATAAAGAACAGAATGGTCTAGGTTACTCAGGTGAGTGTTGTGGCCCATGGGCCTCTTAATGAACAAATAATTTAACACTTGAAACAAATCCTGTTTTATTCTATACTTTTAGGTATTAAACAAACTTTATAATGGAGGACACACCTCTTACACAGGATGTGGAATTGACTGTGGCCCTCAATACGGGGGACAGTCCACCTCCCCCCTACAAAAGGAAAAGCACCCCACCAAACCCGCCAGATCAAGAAACCTTTTGTATAGATATGTCTGGTAATACACTGGTCCCCCCGAATGGTCACCTGACCAGCCCGGAATCATCGCGGAGGAGACACAAGAGTGAGGGGGCGATTCCCGTGGCCTCTCTGAATGGCCAGCCCGCGGGTAATAATCACCTGTCGCCTAATCAGAGGAAGAACTCCATGTTCGGGAGTCGGAGTACGATCAGCGGAATTAAGTTTGATGATCCTTATGTAGGTAGGTGTACAATTCAAAACAGCAGTATGGACTGATCGCTGTAAAGATCAAATGTAACTGTATGGACTGATTGCTGTAAAGATGAGATGTAACAGTATGCTTGAAGGTAATGAGTGTTTTAGAAATTCATGGCTGTATATGATCTGTTGTTGAGATGACCATCCCTCTTAGTATCTTAATTTTAAGTTACAAGGCCATCGGAATTAGGGGAGGGTCATTCAAAGTGTACTGAATCTATATTGAAATGCAAAGCAAAAACATGATAAAAAATGAAATTTCTCTAAAAAATGAATTTACTCCAAATTGCCATGTGATATTATCAAATATCCCATCCTATGGCCTTAACATACAGCGTGGTCTATATAAATCTGTGGAGTAGACAGATGTAGATTAGTTCTCATTTGCTTTTTAGATATGTATATTTATTGCACAGTAGATATTTATGGTGTTCTCTTTCTAATTTATTTTAAATACAACATATATATATATATAATATTGTATGATGTGTTATGGCACATTTTTCTTTTGTAATTTGTGCAATTATTATTAATTTCTAGAATTGTAGATACTTTTTATTTTGGTTTACAGTAGAAATTTGTTAATACACTGGAACTTGCCTAATCTGGTACCTAAGGAACAATAATATCGATATAATCTCAAATATAAGAAATGATTGCAAGTAGCTACATGTACGAGGGTTGATCCAAAAGTTCGTGGAATTTCTTTCTAAAATTTTATCGTGATTTGATGAAAACAAACAATAGGCATATTTATAATATAGAGTCATACTGCAACAATATTGGAAAATTTCACCCCGTTCTAATTACCAATAAGGTCACACAAGCTTTCTGAAAATGGATAGTTGTGAAACCCGGGGGAGACTTTGACGTAACGTCAAGTTAGGTATGTCACGTCACGTTTTAGAAGCATCTCATCCAACTGTCCAATTCGAATACATAATTCTACCTTTTGTCCATTTTTTTTTCTGATGAAAAGCCTGGGTATCCTCTCGTACCAACTTTTCTTCATTTTTCACTCATATTTCAAAATACTCTCCATCTTTCCATATGATGTTCCAATATCAGTGGCAATGTCAAGAACAGTACGTCAGCCGACAACGTCTATTAACGCTTTTAATTTGTCAAGGGGGATAAACACTTAAAACAGAGCTTCCAAAAGGCGGCCAATTAAGCTTTAATCAAAGTCCATGGAAGTTCTATTTTTCTTATATTTCTTACGACACTGGAACCCAGTAGCTAAATGCATTTTTCCCAATCCTGTGTCAATAATATACGCGTTTAAGATAGAGTGATCCTGGGATTTTCATAAAACTTATGACTTGACCGAAATTTGACGTTGTCTAACAACCTGAAGATGAACAATAAATCTTCAACTAATGAATGAAATATCCAGTAAAGTCAGTAAAAATCTCACACAAAGGTTTATAAAAGATCAAGCAATCATAATAATGACATAATTTTCGTTCTCTATAACACATAGGGAGATTTTATTATCATTTCAAGAATTAAGAATTAAATTGATAATAAACGTGTTGATGTCTCCCCCGCATTTCCAAACATCCGTTTCTATGGCAACTGCCATAGAGTTACTATCACAAATATTTAAAATATTTTTTTTATCTAAAATATTCAACAATTAAAGTGTCTATATTTTCATTTGTAATATTCAATCAATTTCAATTATAGATAAATAAAATATGAAGAAATTCCACGAACTTTTGGATCAACCCTCGTATTTACAGAAAATCAGAGTTTTCCCAAATTTTGAGCAGTAAACATTGTGTTTAGAACATTGTTAAGGGACTCTGACCCTCAGCCAGGAAGGACAAATCTTTAATTTATAATTTAATTCAAAACGTCTTTAAATGAACCTTGAAAATTAAATATTTTCATGCAACAATTTTCATTATATGCCTCTCAATGTGCTTCAGGAGTCTTTGAACTTCTCAGAAAGGTCTAATTAAAAGTAGAAATTTTTATCCCTTAAAAGCATTTCTAGATTAATGTACCAATGTTTATTAACATGATATGAAATTAGAAGTGATTTATGGAGCTTTGCAAAGACTCTTGAAGCACATTGAGAGGCATATAATGAAAATTTTGCATGAAAATATTTAATCTTCAAACTTCATTTAAAGACTTTTTGAATTAAATTATAAATTAAAGAGTTGTCCTTCCTGGCTGAGGGTCGTTGTCCCTTAATGTGACAGCTAAATGATTAGACAAGTTTAAGTGTTGCTTGTTTTCCTGTGGATTCCGTTATGCATGTTTTTGACTTGTTTGTTGCTTCAGGAGACGGGAGAGGTAGTGATAGAACCAGCTGGAAGACGTCGGACTCAGATGACGGTAAGGACCTACAGGATTAAATCAATAAGAGAAGGAAAAAAATTCCACAAAACACAAATAACTCTCAGGAGGAAAAAAAAAATCATATTTAGCATGTTTTTGAAATGTCTGTTGACATAGAATAGGGAAGAAGAATTCAATACAATACTAATTTACTGGCTTGGGATAGAGCAGGGGCAGATTTAGAAAGAGATGGGGAATCAAACTTCCCTATTTGTGAACATGCTTAAGGATTTAAACATCATTTTTTTTTTAGTAAGATGCTTGTATTTCTCTTATTATACCTAAAGTATAACTTGAATAAGTCAAAAACTGTTCTAATAAATTCCAATAACCTTTCTAGAGGATTTGCTTCTACTTTGGCTTTGCCCTGGACCCACTTGAGGCCTTAAGTTAACCCCCCACCCCCACCCTCCGACCCCACCCCAGGCCCAAACCCCCAAATTGATAACAATTCCTGGATCTGTCACAAGAGAGACATGGCCAATTCAGTTCGTGTAAGGTGATTGTGACCTTGACCTCTTAAGAATGTCCTTGAGAAAAATTTAGCCAACATTCTATAGATATGGGATCTCACAGCACATGCAGTGAATTTTATTGCTTTAAAAAGTAACAGGCATGATGTACAATTATAATGCAGCTGCACTGCATTTGAGAAAACATTTGCATTTGCATCAAAAGCAAATTAATACGTACCTTTCAAAAATCAGCTGCTATACTTAAAGATCTATAAAAGAGCTCCAGGCCTATTAAATGATCTATTGAACTGATTGGTGTATATCATTACCCAGCATGCTCTCTTTGTTGAGATAACACTTGAGAAAGTCATAATACATGTATAATAAATATCAGATTGTTACCATTTTATAACCAAAAAACGTTTGAAGTGTACAGCTTACATCTCGGCAGTATTTTTTGAATGACTTAACTAACTGTTAATGTTTTATTTTTTCTAGATGAGTCGGGTCTGACCCTAATGTACTCGAAGCACGAGGTACGTACTTATAATCATTATTCCACATGCAATTGTTGAGAGCCGTGCCTGTATTTCACCACTGTCTCTGCCTGACAGATTAACAATTTCTCTCAGTGAAGAATTAAAACCAATTACAATTCAGAACCCAGGCTATAAATATGTGAATTAAAAGTTGAGTGCATTAATTACAAAAAGATGCTGCCAAGGAAAAAAAAAGATTGCCTCAGATGAAATAACATTGAACAAAGAATTTGAAATACTCTTGAGTTTATCTTGGAATGTGTAGAGTTCTCCCCTTATAGATTGGGAATTTAGTGGCAAGCTATAAAAAGAACAAAAAACAAACAGATCAAGGGGGAAATTAGCAAATTAATTAGCACCTTCCCACTGAGCTACAAGGTGCTTTGTCAATCTTGGATGAGTGCAACCACAGAAAACAAATATACATTGTTTTATTCAGCAGAATTGTATTCTGAAGGTCACATTTGGAGGTGATAGTAAAATTCACAAATATCTGGCTTATCTCATTTTGTAGGTGAACTTCTAAAAAATCCGGTCTTTTTTTTAACTTAATGTTCTATTCAACACCAGTAGTATTTACATGTGTATATAAATACACCTGGGATAAGATTTATAAACAAAATAAGAGAGAGAAAGAGAAAAAGAGAGAGAGACTGTAATGACTACTGAATAAATTTTTCTTTTTTGTCCCAGAAATTACCGATGAAAGACTTCTCAATGGAAGTCAGGGCTTCAATGGATGTACAGAACTTTCTGAAAAAGACAGTTTTAATTCTTGACCTGAACAAGGTCAGTTTGGATGAAATCATTGATGAAATCCTTCACAAGTTGTTGGACAGCACAGGCAGTAAACACAGCTTTGACCAGGCCAGATCTGCTCTCTTTACTCATGATTGTGGTAAGTGAGGTCAAGGTTATGTCAAGGTCACACAATGTGTTTCACAAAAAACTTGGGGCATTACATTAATAATGATTTTTTTCTCTTTTTTATTAAAGAATCAATTGGTATGTGCTATGTTTTTGTTTTGTTTTTTATACATTTATTCACTTATACAGTATAAATTTGTGTCACAGAATGATAAAAAGTATTTAAACACAGCAATTGAAACCCAAGGTCATTTCAAGTTTGATTTCATAATATAATATGTATCGTAAATCCTTGCTCATATTCACATTTTTGTAGGCAATCAGTTAATAAATTGAGAACTTTTTTTCCCTTTTCACCAGTTTGTAATTAACAAAGGTCATGAAAAATGCAGTCACTATTAATTATAGTTCTACTCTTTTTACTTTGATGTTTGATAATGAATTTTTCATGATTCTTTATTACGGATAAATGTAAATAATTAAGATAGAAATGAATGTAGTTAGCGGGTTATCATCTTTGAGAGCCAAGAGCCCTGTTTGTACTTTCTCATCAAAAGATGTGATACAAATCAGACCGTTGTCTTGCTGAGATATGTAGGTTGAAGTAAAAGTAAAATCTTTTGGATTTTGATTTACCAGGGAGTATATTTATAGTATTATCTATATTTATATAAAGTGCATGAGCATACCTATTTATAAAATATTAACTCAATCGTTAAAAGTGTAAAATCGTAATGATTTACATCTGAGGTGTACTTTTAACACACATTTTTTTTTTTATTTTAGTCCACCAGCTGAGTCGAACCCTTCAATGTACCAGTATATCAGAAGGAGGAGGGTTTGATTATGACCAGAACTGGATCTGCGCTTTGTAAGATTTCAAACATCTATAAAATCTAAACCCTATAAATTTAGCCTAGCAGTAAATTACAGCCTTGTAATATAGATATACTGAACAGACCAAAGGCTGATGTTAAAAACCTATAAAGTTAGATGGACATGACAGCTAAAGCCGCTTTATAAATAGCTTCTGTTAGCATTATTATGAAAATGCTTAATGGATTGAGTATAGATAGATGTTTTCGTATGTTTATATTCTTTTTTTATTTGAAAATCTGCCTTTAATGTTGACCTATTTTTGATAATTTATATATATATTGTCAAGGTCAATTATTTTCAGAATCAGTCTTTGCTATAAAGTCTTTCAAGACTTGTCTTGACAAAAAAATTGAAACTCATGGGCACTTTCAAAAATTTATGTTAGGAAATTATCTCAAATATAGAACATTTTGTGGAGCAGTTGATATTTTTAATATGTAATGGCAATTGTTAATGTTCCATTTGACTTGCGTCTTTCAGATACGAAGAGATTCACTTTTTAATAGCTTTATATGGAGGAAGACGTGTAAATAAATGACACACTGATGTAAATGGCTTTTGTTAAATTTTTTTAGGGCTAGCATTCCTTCTATCCAGTCCAGACATGTGGGGATAGCTCGCCTGCACCACCCCGCAAATCTGGGAACCTCCAGCCAAGAAGTCTACTTTGTCATCGTGGTTCTAACACCTACCAAAGAGGTGAAAACCAGCTTAAACACTTTATAAATCTTAAATAACTGATCAGTGTAATTATATGTCTCGGAAAGCTTGTGTACAATCAGCAAAACGAAAAAGACAGGAGATCTAGCAATAAGTTAATTGAACCTAGCTAAAATGCACAACGTCTATATTTCGTATTAGATGATACAAGCCTGTGGGCTTGCTTCTTATTCATTCTGAAAAGTTTAGTAAAATTAGAGTCTTCAGCTTAATCAAATTCTTGTTTAATTTATTTTAAAGAAAGGAACAAAGAATGAGCTGGAGACTGGCAGGACGTTCTCCACGATAATGTCTGACCCCGAATTACGTATGAAGTTGCTGGAGGCCAGAAATGAGACAGAATTCAAACAAATTCTAGAGACACACACTAACGCACTGGCAGAGAAACAGAAAAACTGGGTCTCAGAAAAGGCCATGTTTTCTTCTGAACACCAAGAACAGGTGAACAGATTATCTTTTAATCTTAAAAACTTTAAAGTACATATTCATGTTTATCATAAAATAATAGTGTCAGGCTTTTCCCTATGCTTTTGTCTTTAATGTTCAAGATTTGTCAAATTGGTGGTTAAAAATGATCATTGAATGTTTTGTCTGCAATTTGAGATGTAAACTTTCAAGTATTCTGAACTCAATATAATGTACACAAATAAAGAGAACCAGGGTTTATTAAAGGTAAATTGCTTACAGGATATTAAGTATGAAATTATTATGTATATGTAACCACTCCTTTCATTATTTAAACAGGCTATAGTTAAATGTTCAGTTTTAAGCCACCTTTTGCTTAAATTAATGGATACTAGTATTTTATCAAAGTACATTTACTATGCCTTTTGACTAGCAATTACAGAAAATGAGATTTTGGAGAGATTTTATTAACATATATAAGGAGTGGGATGGGGAGGAGGCTGGGGAAAATAGTTTCTCTTTGAGGTTGGTTAACAGTCTCCAGTATTCTTGTCTAATTATGAACTTTAATTAATTACATTCCTTGACTACTTAATTGAGCATGGATTCTTGCAATGCAGACATTTCATTTCAAGGTCTAGAGACAGGTTGAATTACTGTTTGTTACTGATGTCTTATTTTCTCTTTCCCAGACTTCGTTTCGGTGTAGTTTGTTCCGCGGGATCAGAGAAGACCTGAGACGGCGAATCCCTGTCTATATCTCCGATTATAAGGATGGTAGGTATCAACACCGCGACTCGTACACAGCCAGACAAACATTTAATCCGCACTCTATACAGGCAATTAATTCCTGATTATACATTCCGATTTCTAACTTATAAAAAATTTTAGCTATGTTGTTTCAAATGCTGGAGATGGATTTGTTAATTAATCTTAATGGTTTTGATGTTCATGCAGCCAGAAGGGCTTTACATAAAATGAATCCAAAAATTTCTTTGGTGAATATTAAAAATAGATTTGTTGTTGTATTTTTATAATGTAGCAGTTTTTTATTTAATTAGTAAAGAACACAGAATGTAAAGCTTTTATATGTTGATAGAAGAAACTGAATATTAGATCTATTGCTTCTGAGGGTTCTATAGAGTATTAAAAGTACAGATTTTATGCCAACATGTGTATCTTGAAAGTTAACAGATCTTGGAATTTTATCTTTAAACAAAAAAATAATGCATAAAGATTTTATATGTTTAAACTAGAAAGTTTTGCATTTTGATGATAATCTTGAAAAGTGGAACCTACCTAAAATTGAAGAAATTAATGAAACAATATGCACATGAGATAGAATGATTATACATATCCCATTAGTAAAACTCTTTTTCAATTTTGATGATAATGATAACTCAAATAGAAAAATCAATAGAATGTTTAAACCAATTTGTGTCTGCAATTAATCTCAAATTTCAAATGATCAGTATTTTCAGTAGAAGTTGACAAAAACACTATTGAAATCATTTTCAATTTTTTAAAATCACTGCAACATTTTGAGGTGTATTTAGTCTTATAGGATGGTCAAACCTAGTTATAATTAATTAAGTAAATCCAGTGCAGAGTGATTTTGCATGGAGGTCAGGAAATGTAAAGAATCCTACAGCTGCAAAATAAAATCTAATTTCAGGAGTGGTTGGGAAGAAGTCGGTTCAGAAGACCATCTCCACCACGCTGTTCCTATATTTTGCCTGTCTAATGCCCTCCATTGCTTTTGGTGTCCTCAATGCCAACAACACAAAAGGTCAACTCAGTAAGTATTGGGACATCACTTCTTTATCTGTCAAAGATCAACAAAAGGTCAACTCAGTAAGTATAGGGACATCACTTCTTTATCTATCAAAGGTCAAGGAAAGGTCAACACAGTAAGTATCGGGACATCACCTCTTTATCAGAGGTCAACAAAAGGTCAACTCAGTAAGTATAGGGACATCACTTCTTTATCCGTCAAAAGTCAACTCATTAAGTATAGGGAATCACCTATTTATCTATCAAAGGTCAAGGGAAGGTCAATGCAGTAAGTATCAGGACATCACTTCTATGTCAAAGGTCAACAAAAGGTCAACTCAGTAAGTATAGGGGCATCACCTCATTGTCAGTCAAAGGTCAACTCATTAATTAAGTATAGGGACATTGTTTCATCTGTCAAAGATCATCAAAAGGTCAAATCAATAAGTATAGGGACATTCACCTTTTTGTCAGTCAAAGGTCAACAAAAGGTCAACTCAAGTATTGGGACAACACCTGTTCATCAGTTAAAGGTCAACTCAGTATGTATAGGGGCATCACTCATTGTCAGCCAAAGATCCACTCAGTAAGTATAGGGACATCACAGCTTTATCTGTCAAAAGTCAACGAAAGGTCAGCTCAGTAAGTATTGGGACATCAACTCTTTATCTGTCAAAGGTCAATAAAAGGTCAACTCAGTAAGTATTGGGACATCACCTCTTTATCTGTCAAGGGTCAATAAAGGTCAACTCAGTAAGTATAGGGATATTCACCTTTTTTTTCAGTCAAAGGACAACTCAGTGAGGATTGGGATATCACTTAATTACCTCTAAAAGGCTTTGTAAAGAAATTGCGTAGTCCTCAAGAAGGAACTTGATTAGTCCGATCTTGTCATAGACAGTCAGAATTTAAACTAGCAAAAAAGCAATAATTCTTCTGTTTTGACAGGTGTAGAGAAAGTGCTATATTCCCAGACATTTGGAGGCTTGGTGTTTGCTTTCTTTGGTGGAACTCCTCACATTGTGTTACTGACAACGGCACCACTGGCCTTGTACACTAAAAGTAAGTTTACTTTTGTAACAACCCCCTCCCCCTCACACACACAAACTAAGATTGAAAAGTGATCATACAAGAAATAAAGTACACTGTTGTTTCAAATAAATTCAGAAAATGATAATACATTTTCAATATGACAAAAATTGTAAATTTTGTCCCTTTTGACCAGGCCCCAGGATGGGGCTAAGTGGTCATAAACTGACTTTTTTAAAAGTTTACTTTTTCTTTCCTGAATTTCATAAAAAATGGTTATTTATTTAGTCCATGATGAAACAAAGTTTGTCATATAAAACTAGCCAACAAAGGCCCCCTGTTCTCTATCATAATATTACATGTATATCTCTGTATAGTTTTGCATACAAATAACTTGTCTGGATTCAAACATTCTGAGTTTGTTTTTTAGTTATATACAGTATCTGTGAGGACTTTGATATTGACTTTCCTGCCATGTATGCCTGTGTGGGACTTTGGAATAGTCTGTTCCTCTTCTTGTATTCAGCTTTTGATCTCAGCGTACTGATGAAATGGTCCACAAGGTATGTTCATTTATATTATAATTATAATAATTAATTGGTACTTATCAGTGTAATCTTTAAGTCTTAGCTCTACTGGTTAGAGACCAGAATAGTTTATGCAGTAGTAAGATGTTTATTGTTTGTCTAGATGTCTGTCTGTTCATCTCATACAAAATGATAATAAAAATGCTACTCCTCCTACAGTTTTAATCTAAACATTTCAATAAAAATTGGCACACAAGTAAGCTACATTCAGATACATAATTCCATTATCTGTTTTTTATTTCAATGAAAGTTGATGCCATAGTTGCTAAAAATAGAGGAGTTTTTATAGTTTGGGTCTAATTTTAAAATAACATGGCATGCAAGTACAATACATTTAAATACCCAATTCTCTTTACACTTCTTCTCTGATGAATGGTGTTGCAATGGTTACTGGAAATGGAAATTTCTTTAAAATTCTTTCAAAATTGATCTCCTTCTACAGTTTTTGTTTGCTTACAATAAATCTTAAATTGCTATGAAAAGAAACTCAATGAAAGATTATTCTTTTTATTACTATTCAGTAGTTTTAAGTCTAAGTGCTAACTTGCTTTAAGTACAAACCAGTAGAGCTACAGTCTCATCAGAGACTTCTGCGTTTTTTTCTTTAGTTTTTGAACCAAAAGATAACAAAAACTAACTTTTTTTCTAAAATTATTGAGAAGAATATACATTCTGGAATACTGATCATGCCTTCCAATTGTGTAGTATTATCTAGCAGTAATCAATGATAAGTAATGTCTGAAACAAGACACTGAATATTACATGACTGAACAGTCTTATGATTAAAGGAGGAAATCTCACTAAGGCTGGCAAATGACACTTAATTCACTCAAACTACAAACATGAATGGAATTATTGATTATATGCCAGTTTAAGATGTTGTTTGGTATATTGATTCATCACTACAACATCAGACAATTGAGTTAGGTTGACCTTCAGTATGACTAGGATTACATTTTCTTAGTCAGATTTGCTTCAGTAAGGTTTCTAGGAGCAATGCCAAGCTTTTTTGAATGGATGCTCCATTCGAATAGTCATATCACCCATAGGGTACAAATATCTCTTTGAGAGTAGGCTAGTATTAAATTTTGAGACAAAGTTTGGTGAAGTTTGTCAAGTAAATTGTGTAAAATAATAAACATCTTAATACAATATTGTACCTTGAAGAATTCCTATAACTTTTTATAGTTATACAGCTATTAAATTCATGAGAACAGACTCATCAGTTGTGAAATCATATACAGTGTACATGTAAACCATCAGCAAAGAAAGCATGGCTTCCTGAGAAGCAATTTCTTTTGTATCTGAATGCCAATCATTTTGCTGAATGCCAATGATAAAAAATGATTTGTTTTACGTACGATGACCAACCCATCAAATTTTTAATTTTCTGTTTCCTGGAGAGTATGGATTGTCAACATGATTTCTTACAGCTATAAATCAATCTGTCTTATTGACCATTTGTTTATTATAATTAAAAATTTCTACACACCTTTATAAATGCAGGTTAAATTACATCAAACTAAACATTTTTTAATAATGGCCTTATTGGTGTGAAAGATACTTGATTTTGTGATAGTTTTAATGTAAATATTTGTACCTTATTGATGAACAGAGGACATCTTTCATCTGCCTACAAACTGATAAAAAAGAAAATAAATAGGAAATATCTTCATCTGATGTTTATTTTAAACAGGCATGGAAAAGAATTGTTGAGAAGATCTTGATTTGTTCATTTTTGTGTTCCAGATCATCAGAAGAGATATTTGCTGTATTTATTTCTATTGCATTCTGTGTCGACGCTTTCAAGGATGCTGTGAGCAGTAAGAACATTTTGAATTTTTAAAAAAATCTTTTGATTGAAATATTTCTCTCACCTTATCCTTGAATCAGAGTTTAAATTTGAAAGTGAAGCAGTGGTGAGAGATTTTAGAACACACCTGCCTGATAAAGATAATGCTGAGAATCTTGTTATTGCAGTCTATCTTTTATCATGAAGATGTATTCTGCTGGCAATATGAATTTATCTAGAATGTTGATAGCTTGAATACCATAAATGTGTGGAAGTTACTTGAAAGTCCCAACTACACTTTCTTCATGTTTTAAACTTTGATTTCTTTAAGACTTAGATATTTCATCTTTTTTCTTGATCTAATTGGGTTAGAGATAACAAAGTTTGACTGATGGTTGGTGCTATGACTTTAATATTTCAATTATATATACATGTATATTCCTTTTGAAAAACTTTAATCTTGCATGGCCATTATGTTTGGATGGTGGGTTTTAGGAATTTTATATACTGAGTATCATGCACACATGTACTTCTTTAGACTTTCTTTGCATGGATAGCAAATTTTTGACCTCATGATCTTCATGTTTGAGTTAGGAAAAAATCATTTACTGTGCTCAGGGCTTTTATATTTTACTATGTATTCATTGTAACAAGAGCTTTATTTGACACCAATTATAACCTCATGACGTTCACCTTGGACAATGACCTACTTTTGAAAAACTTTAATATTAGCTGGCCATGCTTTTGTGCCGCATATGACTTTTTAATTTACATATTTATACCTTGTGACAAGACCTATATTTGAGTACCAATATTTTTTAAACTTAGGTCTTGACCTTGGAGTTTGACCTGTACTTGAAAACTTTGGCAACAAGGGGGCATTAGTATTTCACTATAAATGCATCATGTTTATTTATTTCTTTTGGAAGGAGGGGACCATTTGAGTTTTAGACTTTAGACTATATACATGTATACAGGTATGCATGTGCCATATGAATATTGGAGTTCACTTCATATTATTTATTTCTTTTGGAAGGAGGGGACCATTTGAGTTTTAGACTTTAGACTATATACATGTATACAGGTATGCATGTGCCATATGAATATTGGAGTTCACTTCATATTTTTAACAATAATCCTTTTTTTCTGTAGACTTTGGAGCCCATTATAACATTCCAGCTTGCTCTATGTCCACTGTCTCAGAGAGTTCCACAGTGAATTATTCAGTAGCATCGAATGTAACGAACACCATCACGTCTGTGGTGAACAGTACAGCTCCACAAGATGTCTGTGAACGGGACGTCAGCCTGCTGTATCTACTGTTACTACTGGGGACACTCTGGCTCGGTGTCACCCTGTATAACTTCACCATGACGTAAGTCAGCTTAACTCTCACGCAAAAATTGCAAGTACATGTAATTATTGCTTACAGTGTAGTCATAGATGAACATACAAAGGATGATGTTGTTTCAGTTTCTTCTTTTAGTATTTAGATTTTTTCCCCGTTTAGATATCTTGTATGAATGTACCAGGTTCCTCTATGAACATTGTTTGATTTCAGTCCTTATTTGAATGCTGGGAAGAGAGAATTGCTGGCCGACTACTCCCTCCCTGTGGCTGTTATTATTATGAGTTTCTTTGGATCCTATGTGTTCAGGACTGTAAAGTGTGAGTAACTTAGTAGAGTTCAAGGAGCCACTCTGGGCTTTGAACCCTGATAAGGTCCATAGTTTTCACGGCCTTCTTATCAAAGACAGACTTGAACCAAGTCTGCAGCCAGTACGTGCCCTTAAAATGTGGCAAATGGTATTAACTTTACTAGTACATGCACATTATTATGAGAAATGTTACAATTGTCCATTCCTTTCCAAAACTCTAGGTTATTACTTTTTTTACTTATTTTTCAGTGGACAGTAGTTTTATTCCGGGTGAATTATCGCTTGACGTTTTTAAACTGGTTCCCATTTATAACCTGTCCGTGGGGGCGGTGTTTGGTGCCATGGGGCTGGGTTTCTGTTTATCTCTCCTGTTCTTCATGGATCAAAACATCTCTGCAGCACTTGTCAACGCTCCACAAAACAAGTAAGTGAAAAGTCTAAGTGATGTGGACACCATATTGAAACCGTACACCATACCAAAAGTATATTAGGTGAACATGCAGTTATAGTCATTTTTACACAAAAAACAGAGAAAATATTACAATATAATTAATGAAATTGTGTTCTGATTTTTTCAGGTTAAAAAAGGGTACATCTTACCACTGGGACCTCCTGGTTTGTGGTGTGATTAATGCCTTTTTGAGCATGCTGGCCTTTCCTCTGGTCCATGCCGCACTCCCTCACTCCCCGCTCCACGTCAGGGCTCTAGCTGATGTGGAGGAGAGGGTCGATCAAGGTCACATTTACCAAATGTAAGATTACAAACAGAACTTTTAAATTTGATCTTTAATTTTCAAAAGGTGTATGGATTTATTTGGCATAAAAATTTCAGTTGAAGTCACTGTGGAAAGATTTGTGTCATGTTTTATCAATTTTCATTACATTTACTTACAGAATTGTGAGAGTACGCGAGACTCGGCTAACAGCAATCTTTTCCCACATTCTGATTGGGCTTTCCCTACTCATCCTGAACTTCCTTGCCTATATTCCCACCCCTGTGCTGTATGGTCTATTTCTGTATGTTGGTGTCACAGCATTGTATGGGAACCAGCTGTTTGAAAGAATCATGCTGCTTATAACTGAACAGGTATTATAGTCAGTTCACTTGAATTGGGGGGGGGATAAGTGTTTCACAAACAACTCTGTTTAAGTTTATAATAGAGTAATTGACCCTTTAAAAATGAATTTTTTATATCACTTTACATGTGATTTTAGTGGTACCCAGCCATTTAAATTGTTTTTTCTAACTTATATGTATGTTGTAACATTACAAAAAACTACAAGTAGGGAAAATTGGGAAGATACCTCTTCAAAAATCTACAACTACTACAGCTGGTGGTGCTGTGTGCATTCGGATTCACTCCTTACCCTTATCTCAAATTGTTTTTTCTTACTTATATATATATGTTGTAACATTACAGGGGGGAAATCATCCCACTCAGGTATTAAGGTTATCAATACATCAAAATGTCAGGTCCCCAGGTAAGGCAGGGGGGAAGATTCACCTCTTCACAGTTCTACAACTTCTACAGTTGGTGGTGCTGTGTGCAGGGGGGAAATCATCCCACTCAGGTATTAAGGTTATAGAAATACAGGTCAAAATGTCAGGCCACTCAGGTAAGGCTAGAGAAATACAGGGGGGAAATCATCCCACTCTGGTATTAAGGTTATAGAAATGTTCAAAATGTCAGCCACTCAGGTAAGTTCTCCCCTCAGGTATTAAGGTTATAGAAATACAGGTCAAAATGTCAGGCCACTCAGGTAAGGCTAGAGAAATACAGGGGGGAAATCATCCCACTCAGGTATTAAGGTTATAGAAATACAGGTCAAAATGTCAGGCCACTCAGGTAAGGCTAGAGAAATACAGGGGGGAAATCATCCCACTCAGGTGTTAAGGTTATAGAAATACAGGTCAAAATGTCAGGCCACTCAGGTAAGGCTAGAGAAATACAGGGGGAAATCATCCCACTCTGGTATTAAGGTTATAGAAATACAGGTCAAAATGTCAGGCCACTCATGTAAGGCTAGAGAAATACAGGGGGGAAATCATCCCACTCTGGTATTAAGGTTATAGAAATACAGGTCAAAATGTCAGGCCACTCAGGTAAGGCTAGAGAAATACAGGGGGGAAATCATCCCACTCAGGTGTTAAGGTTATAGAAATACAGGTCAAAATGTCAGGCCACCCAGGTAAGGCTAGAGAAATACAGGGGGAAATCATCCCACTCTGGTATTAAGGTTACAGAAATACAGGTCAAAATGTCAGGCCACTCAGGTAAGGCTAGAGAAATACAGGGGGAAATCATCCCACTCTGGTATTAAGGTTACAGAAATACAGGATATTCAAAATGTCAGGCCAAAACATTGAATTTTCTGTTTATTACATTAAAAAAATATCTTTGATTTGCCTCTGTCTTTTTGTAATACAGTCATAGGCTCGTGACGTCATAGTTGAGCGGTGGAGACGTCATAGCTATGTGAAGTGTAGACACTGTAAACATGGATTCAGCTACATATTTTTGATAATTTTGACAGTTTTATTCGCTGTCAGAATGGTATTAAGGTTACAGCAATGGGAAGGGAAATATCAGGATATTCGTCACACTGTGACAGGATATCATTTTGATATCCTTTCACACTGTGACAGGATATCATTTTTATTCAATGAATAAATTACAGTATTTCACAGGTAAAAATGTAATAAAGGTCAAAATGTCAGGCCATTCAGGTAAGGCTAGAGAAAATTAGAAATACAAGTTTAAAAAATAATTCCACTCGCATAAGGCTAGAGACGTACAGGTCAAAATATCCTCTTATTCAGGGAATGCTATCAAAATCAAATGTATTTTCCTGTGGAAGATTATTTTGAGGAATCAAATTAAATACTTGTATATCATAATTTTATAATGATTTTGTTTCAGACACAAAGTGATTCCTCGTCTCATACATCAGAAATTTCTCAAAGCTATAGATGGACATTGAGGAAGTGTTCTGGGAGACATGCATCTTCTGTAGGCCATTACATCGAGACTGAACTCTGATGAATGTTCTGTACTCACTAGTGCAAGTTAGATGAACATACTGGACTGTGTGGTGTGAGCGCAGTATAGCTGTCATTTTATTTTACTTCTCTTTAAAGACTGTGATTATAGGTCTAGGAGAAAATGTGTACTGTAAATTGTTTATCACTGTTTTTTTTAAAGAATGCATATCTGTATCATCATTTCTCACAAACAAGTACAATGTAAAAAGAAATGTTCAACTGTACAGATTTATATTTTTAGTGTTAATGTTCCATCATCTTGCCCAACTTAAAAATCACATTTTTTAGCTCAGCAAACTGTGGATAACATTATCCTGATGACAGCGAGAATGTAGCATTTCTGCCATTAGTAGACTAGTCATATTGACTGTGTATATATAGTGTTTTATAGCCTACTACATGTAGTTAATGGACACAATGATGTGTAGCCTTTTGACTGGGTTTATTTTTTAACCTAGTTTATTTAACACATTAATGATTTTTAGCCTAGTTTTTCTTTATAGAAGACAGAGACACAGATTCAAGACCCCTTATTTCTAGCTGCTTTATATTTTACATATATATATACAATACATGCACTTTAGTTTTACAAAGAACAAAATCTCCTTTCTCCTCCATTTTGTTTAAGTTTTGGTGAACCCCTTTTGGTTTACCTCTCCTGTTTTAGATATAACCACATGCAGTCATTGAGTACTAGTCTTTCACCGTTATGATAGATCTTGTCTGACAAGCACTGCACTGTGTGGTGTTCTCTTTAGTTAAATCTTGTTTTAATGTTATTTTGTTGCCATGGAAATGATTATTGTCACTCACATTTTTGTTTTACATTTTCACTCAAATTTATAAAATGCACTTTCATTTACATGGAGTCATATTTCAGTTACCAAGTACATAAACAATCATTGCCATGGCGTGATTGTGAAGTATTAAGATTTTTGGGTGCTTGCCTTCATTTAGTCATTCCCCCCTCTATTTTGTTACTGAACTAGTCACAACATGACATCCATTGTCTTTCATAAAAAAAGCATTGGATTTGACTTCTTGCAATGAGTTTTATTGTATACATAAAACTGTTACATAAAACACATTTTTGTACATAGACTTTGTATTTTTTATATGTGTGTTTGGATTGTTTATTTTGTGTTTTCTGGAAACTTGTATCTTGCAGTGTTCATTGTTTTAAATCATGCAAAATTGTTTTATTTTGTAATCAACATTCATGACTTATAGTTATCAGCTTGCAGTCTTCACTTAAACAAAAGACTGTGTTTGTTGTTATATAGTAAACATATTTTATTAGTTTTAAGTTTACAAGTCATTTTAATGGTTGACTTTTAAATTTAAAAAAATGAATCTATTTCAGAAATTTTTTTTTGCCTTGATGAAATTGGAAAAAAAATTAAATTTAGAAGTATACAACATGACAAGATTTCCACACACAAACAGCCTCGATATTGCAGTTTACAATTTATAACAATTCTCAGAATTTGTGGACTCTGAATATTCTTTAATCAAATGAATCAACATTTATCAACTCCCGCTTATATGACAAGTCAGTCTGGCTGACAAAAATGAAAAACAGTCTATTTTCACAAAAAATGTCAGATAATCATCAAAGATCAAACATTGGAAATTTTAAACTGATGTCCTTGTTAAATTCAGCTATAATTTTGTTGCTATCTTGAAGATTTTCGTTTTCCCCCTTTTTGTGGGGACAGATTGAGGGGGAGGGAGAGGGTTGCCCAGCGTACAGTAAGGCCCCCATCATCTGTGTCCAGTTTCTTGGATTTCATTGTGCATCCAAGAGCCTGGCAGTGCCTCGTCAGTCTATAAAATAAAGTATGTCATTTACATGTATAATCATAAAAATGATACACCTTATACAAATATAAAAGTATACACAAACAAGCCCTCTATCTCAAACTTGATAGCCCAACATAAAACTGATGTAAATTGCAGGATTCAGCTTTTTAAAATACGTAACAAGGAGAAAATATTAAAAAAATAAATGGGTAGGACTTCCAAATAACTGACATTTCTATGATATTTGAGACATCAGTGTTTGAGATGCCAAATCTCAATTTAATTTAATGATATGTTTGCACTGCACAAAATGTATGCATGTCATGAATTCTTTTTTCTTCCTCCTAAAATACAGTAAAATCACAAATTTTTGTAGGGTCAAATTTTCGAGGTTTGAGAAAAAAATTTAATATTGGTTTTTTGGGATTTGAATTTGTGGTTGAGAAATGTTTAGTAGTAATGCATATAAATTTTTAATTTCATGGTGGACATAAGTTTGATGGGTCTCTCCAAACCTCAAAAACAACGAAAATTAAACCCCCATGAAAATGAGTGATTTTACAGTACACATTTTCCTTCTTATTTTACAACTACCAAATTAAGTTCCAAAACTGATGTGAATTTAGAAGTAATGCAGATGAAGCAATTTAAAATAATATATGCCTACTTGTCATGTGTTTTGTTAAGATCTGTCTGTATGTTTGATAGATCCATGGAAAATTCATCCAAGTAAAGGCAGAGAACCAGTATATGGGAAACCAGTTTATCCTTCAGTCTAGCAGTGAAAACTCTGAAAAAAGGCAAAACATTTTTATGAAGAATATAAAATGGACACTACTTAAACAAGTGGGTCCATGGGTCACATCACTCACCTGAGTAACTTTGGTGATGCAGTTCTTTACCAGATTTCCCCTCTTCTTACATCTACAGTGGCCCCCTACCCCCTCCCAACCCCCATCTTTATTTTAATTGTTTAGAATCTACACTACCCTAGAATGCTTCCACCTAAGTTTCAGCTTTCCTGGCCCACTGGTGCTTGAGAAGAAGAATTTTCCAACATATTTCTATATAAAACTAGGACTCCCTATTGTGGCCCCTCCCTATCCCAGGGGGTCATGATTTAACAATTTAGAATCTTCACTACCCAGGGATGCTTCCACATAAGATTCAGCTTTCCTGGCCCACCGGTTCTTGAGAAGAAGATTTTTAAAGATTTTTTCTATATATTTCTAAGTAAAACTTGGATCCCTTATTGTGCCCCCTTCCTATATATATTTCTATGTAAAACTTGGATTCCCTATTGTGGCCCCACCCTACCCCAGGGGGTCATGATTTTAACAATTTAGAATCTACACTACCTCAGGATGCTTCCACATAAGTTTCAGCTTTCCTGGCCCACTGGTTCTTGAGAAGAAGATTTTTAAAGATTTTTCCTATATATATTTCTATGTAAAACTTGGATTCCCTATTGTGGCCCCTCCCAACCCCGGAAGGCATGATTTGAACAATTTAGAATGTAAACTACCTCAGGATGCTTCCACATAAGTTTCAGCTTTCCTGGCCCACTGGTTCTTGAGAAGAAGATTTTTAAAGATTTTTCCTATATATATTTCTATGTAAAACTTGGATTCCCTATTGTGGCCCCACCCTAACCCTGGGGGTCATGATTTTTAGGTCACCTGAGTAAACTCAGGTGACCTATTGCTATCCGTTTTCGTCCGTCGTCGTCCGTCGTGTGTCGTGTGTTGTGTGTCGTGTGTCGTGTGTCGTGTGTTAACATTTGAACATTTTATAGCTTCTTCTCTGCAACCACTGAACCAATTTATAAATTTGGCACAAAGCATCTATGGGTGAAAACGAAAATTGTGAATTTCTATTGATCCCTGCCCCCCTGGGGCCTGAGGGGTGGGGCCAAAACCACTAAAATTAATGCAATCTTTAAAAATCTTCTTCTTTACTCCTGGACATCAAGCAGTCAAACTATTTGCATGATTGTAATCAGCATTGAGTCCTCTACCAAAATTGTGAAATTCATGGCCCTGGGGTCAGGGGTTCTAGTGCTAGGGCAGGGCTAAATAAGTATATAGTGAAAATGCATTATTTCTTTGAAAATCTTCTTCTCTGCTCCTGGGTATTAAATAAACCAACTAAGTACATAGTTATGATGAGCAAGAGTGCCTCTACCAAAATTGTGAATTTTATGGCCCCAGGGTCAGGGGTTCTGGTGTTAGGGTGGGGCTCTATTGATTATATAGTAAAAATACATGATTTCTTTGAAAATCTTCTTCTCTGCCCCTGGGTATTAAATAAACCAAGTAAGTAAATAATTATAATGAGCAAGAGTGCCTCTACCAAAATTGTGAATTTTATGGCCCCAGGGTCAAGGGTTCTGGTGTTGGGGGGGGGGGGGGAACTATTGATTATATAGTGAAATTACATGAATTCTTTGAAAATCTTCTTCTCTGCTCCTAGGTATTAAATAAACTAACTAAGTGCATAGTTATGATGAGCAAGAGTGTCTCTACAAAAATTGTGAATTTTATGGCCCCAGCATCAATGGTTCTGGTGTGGGGGGGGGACTTTATTGTTTATAAAGTGAAAATACATGAATTCTTTGAAAATCTTCTTCTCTGCTCCTAGGTATTAAATAAACTAACTAAGTACATAGTTATGATAAGCAAGTGTTCCTCAACCAAGATTGTGAATTTTATGGCCCCAGGGTCAAGGGTTCTGGTGTGTGTGTGGGGGGGGGGCTCTATTGATTATATAGTGAAAATATGTGAATTCCTTGAAAATCTTCTTCTCTGCTCCTAGGTATTATATAAACTAACTAAGTGCATAGTTATGATGAGCAAGTTTGCCTCAACCAAAATTGTGAATTTAATGGCCCTATCATCAAGGGTTCTGGTGTTGGGGGGGGGGGCTCTATTCATTATATAGTGAAATTACATGAATTCTTTGAAAATCTTCTTCTCTGCTCCTAGGTATTAAATAAATCAACTAAGTGCATAGTGATGATGAGCAAGAGTGCCTCAACCAAAATTGTGAATTTTATGGCCCCAGGGTCAAGGGTTATGGTGTTGGGGTGGGGGGGGGGGCTCTATTGATCATATGGTGAAAATACATGAATTCTTTGAAAATCTTCTTCTCTGCTCCTAGGTATTAAATAAACTAAGTAAGTGCATAGTTATGATGAGCAAGAGTGTCTCTACAAAAATTGTGAATTTTATGGCCCCAGCGTCAATGGTTCTGGTGGGGGGGGGGGGGGGGGCTTTATTGATTATATAGTGAAAATACATGAATTCTTTGAAAATCTTCTTCTCTGCTCCTAGGTATTAAATAAACTAAGTAAGTGCATAGTTATGATGAGCAAGAATGCCTCTTCTAAAATTTTGAACTTCATTGCCCCAGGGTCTGGGGTTCTGGTGTTAGGGTGGGGCTCTATTGATTATATAGTGAAAATACATTGTACATTAAATCTTTGAAAATTTTCTTCTCTGTCTCT